CCATTTGGATGCAGCCCTGCGTTCTCATCTGCATCAGAGACTCCTGAAAACTCTACAGGTCACAATGCTGCTGCTGCGGCCACCCTCCCGGCACCAACACTACCACCACTGCAGAGCCAGGCAGGACCCAGCCCTGCGCTCTTAATGCTCGCATCTGCAACAGAGACCCTGAGAAATGCTTGGATACCCCACAGTTGAGAAATTGTGACAATGTCTGTAGCCTGCATCCCAGAATAGAGAACCTGAAGTAAAACTGTTTTATTAGAGCTCTTGTTGTTTACTTCTCTCTCTCTCTCCTCTGCTGTGCTATGTGGGAGGGACTTGACTTGAACAGCTTAACTCAGAGGTGCATATATATCACTCAGTCTTCTAGAGCCCCACACAGGTGGGGACTTCTGAGAGGGGACAGAGCCTTAAGAAACAAATTTTGTCATCCCCCCCCCTTTTTTTTTAATGGTTCCTTTAACTTTCCTATATTTCCCCTTTTCATTTTATTTTTTGTTGTTTTTCATTTCCCTGAGTAACACCACAAATATTACTGATCCCGGGAAAGACTATACCACGCAGCCATATGGCGCCCCCCAGTGGGTCAGACTAAAATGTAGCCACAAGCTCCTTGAAAGCCAACAGTCCCGAGTTGGAATTAGCCCCTCCCCCATTTTTCCCTTTCTGTGCTTGTTTTCTCTATTTTTCTTTTTTCCCTCCTTTATAATTTCTCTTTTCCTTTTCTCTTCCCTCTTCCTCCTCCTCACCCTCCTTTCTCTTTTTTATTTCTTGTTCATTCTTTTTTTTTTAATATTTATTTATTTATGCATATAGACCTGGGGGTACAGGCCAGAGGTGCAAAAGCAGTAAAAGGATTCACCAGAGACACAGTGGGAAGCAGAACAGGCAGATTGACAAAATACACTACTGATGGAGCAGCAGGCAGGTTAGGAGAGGTCTGCCTTGTCATGTGGATCCCTGTTGCGGCTGGGGATCAAACTCACACTGAAGCAGCTGCAGCTAGCTTGTAGTGCTGCGCTTTAACCCCTTGGGCTGACGAATGTATATAATTAATATTAATATATGATTGATATTACCAATATTAATTAATATATTATAATATAATTAATATTAATTTTATATATTGTGTTAATATTAATATATAATTAATAATAATACTCTTTCAATTGAGAAAGAAGGAATACTACCAAATACATTTTATGAAGCCAACATTACACTAATAGCAAAGCCAAACAAAGTCAAAACAAGAAAACTACAGGTCAATCTCCCTAATGAACACAGATGTAAAAATCCTCAATAAAATCCTAGCAAAACAAAACCAACAATGCTATCAAATGGATAATAATACACCAAGACCAAGTGAGAATTATTCCAGGGGCACAAGGATAATTCAATCTGAAAATCAATTAATGTAATTCAACACATCCACAAAAAGAAAAATAAAAACCATATGATCATATCATATGCTGAGAAAACATTTGACAAAGTTCATCATCCATGTATGAGAAGGACATCAAAATTCTTGGGCTAAAAGGAACATACCTCAACATAATAAAAGCCTGTATGACAAACCCAAGGCCAGTATCATTCTGAATGGCAAAATGCTGAAAGCATTTTGGAACAAAACAAGGATGTCCAATCTCACCACGGCTTTTCAATGTAATACTGAAAAGTCCTAGCCAGAGCAATTAGGCAAAATAAAGACATACAAGAAATCCAAACAGGGAAAGAAGAGGTAAAACTATCACTGTTTGCAGATAATATGATAATATACATAGAGAACCCTTAAAAGTCTACAGAAAAACTAATTAAAACAATAAACCAGTTTAGTAAAGTAGCAGGATACAAAATCAACATACAAAAATAAGTGGCCTTCCTATATGCAAACAATCAGTATGAAGAAGTAATTAAGAAAACCATACATTTACTATTGTACCAATAAAAAGTTAAACATCTGGGGATAAATCTAACAAAGGAAGTAAATGACCTATACAAAGAAAATTATAAGCCATCATTAAAAGAAATAGAAGATACAAAGAAATGGATGGGAGGAATTAAATTATCAAAATGGCATCCTACTGAAAGCAATTTACAGATTCAAAACAATTCTGATAAAAATCTCAATGTCATTCTTCAAAGAAATAGAACAAGTATTGCTGAAATTCATATGGAATCACAAAAAAACCTCGAATAGTCAAATACTATTCCTGGTGAAAAAGGAGGAGAATGGAGCTATCACACTCCCAGACTTCAAAATATACTCCAAGTCCATAACAATTAAAACAATATGGTACTGGAAATAAAAACAGATACACAGACCAATGGAATCATATAGAAAACCCAGAAATTAAGTCACACATATGAACAACTAATTTATGACAAAGGAGCAAAGAATATTCAATTGAACAGGGATAGTTTCTTTGATAAATGGTGCTAGGTAAACTGGATTGCCACATGCAAAACAAATGAAACTAGACTGCTACCTCACATCATGCACATAAACCAACTCAAAATGGATAAGAGATTTGAATATAGGACCTGAAACCATTAAATATATAGAAGAAATATGACATATAACTCAGAAACATCATTGAAGACTTATCTCCAGAAGCAGAGAAAATAAGGAAAAGATAAACAACTGGGGCTGTATCACACTAAAAAGCTTCTATACAGTAAAAGAGACAATAACCAAAGTAAAGAGACACCCTAATAATTCAGAGAAATATTTGCACTCCATACAGCTGATAAGGGACTGATCCTACGATCTACAAAGAGCTCACACAATATAACAAAAACAAAGCAAACAATCCAGTCAAAAAATGGGCAGAAGAAGACCTCCCTGGTGATGCAGGGGTTAAAGTCTCAGCCCTGTCAAACTACCGCCAGCCACTTTAGCACAAGTTCAATACCTAGCCAGGAAGCTAACCCACATGGTACAGCAGACCTTTCCTGTCTCGCCCACTGCTCCTCTCACACTGTATTTTGGCAGATCTGCCTGTTCTGTCTCTGGTGAATCCTCTCAATCCCCGTACCTCTGGCATATACCCCCAATTCTTGTATTCATAAATAAATGAACATTAAAAAAAGGAGGGGTCATAAAAGTAAATGACTGGATTAAAAAGATGTGGTACAGGGCCCTCCCTGGTGGCGCAGCAGGTAAACGCAGCACTAAGAAGCTAAATCCACTTCAGCAAGAGTTCCACCCCCAGCCCCAGAGGTGACCCACACGGTGTGGCAGACCTCTCCTGACCCGCCCGCTGCTCCCCTCAGCAGTGTACTTTGTCAGTGGTCCTGTTCTGCTCTCTTTCCAGTGAAGCCTCTCACTGCCCCTACACCACTGGCCTGTACCCCATTCTGTATGCATAAATAAATAAATCTTTAAAAAAAAAAAAAGATAAGGTACATATACGCAATGGAATATTACTCAACAATCAAGAGAGATAAACATATGCCTTTTGCAGAAACATGGATGGAACTGGAAGGGATCATGCTTAGTGAAATAAACCAGGAGAAAAGGAAAATACTGGATTGTTTCACTCATAGCAGGAGTATAAAGGACCAGGGGAGAAAATAATAATAATAAACAACTATATACCAAAGACATTTTACAGGGGTGGAGTGGGGAATGGGATCAAAAATGGGGGAGGGGAGAAGTGCACTGGACTATGGTGATGGCACATAGGTGATTTGGAAGCCCACAGGGATTACAACTGAGATGGAAAAAAGCACACAATGATGTAATAATAAACTATTATGTTATAAAATAAAATAAAAATGGGGGTTATAAGAGCTAAAAAGACATTCCTCCAAAAAGGAAATACAAATGGCCAATAGGTATATGAAAAAATTTTCAACGTCATTTATAATCAAGGAAATGCAAATCAAAATTACAATGAGATACCACCTCACACCAGTGAGAATGACCCATATTTAAAAAAAAAAAAAAACTGGCAATAACAAATGCTGACAAGGATGTAGAGAAAAAGGAACTCTCTTACTACTGGTGGGAATGCAAAACATTCCAGCCACTATGGAAAGCTGTATGGAGCACCCTCAAACTACTAAAAATGGATCTACCATTTGACTCATAATTCTACTGCTAGGAATCTACCCAAAGGACACAAAAACATTATTTCAAAAGGAAAGCTGCTTATGTTTATAGTACCAAAATTTACAGTAGGTAGGATATGGAAACAACCTCAATGCCAAAAAAAGATGACTGGATCAAAAAGATACAATGGAATACTATTCGGCAATCAAAAACATAAACTCAAGCCATTCACAGCAACATAGATGGAGCTGGGAGGAATCAGGCTCAGTGAAATAGTCCAGAAGGTAAAAGATAAATATCCAATGATTTCATTTATAGGAGGAATATAGGCAAACCAAACAAGGTTTCAGAAAAAAAAATAAAATTAGCAGGCAAACTATAGCTCTAAGGCATACAGCAGGGGAGAGGGAAGGAAAAGGGATCAAAACTGAAGGGAAAAACACAGAGACTATGGTAATAGTTTATATAAGTAAGCTTGGTAGTGAGAATTTTATGGGGATTTCACCTAAAGGGAGAAATCAAACACTGTACAAAAATGAGTAATAATGTAAATATATATATATATAAACTACATATATATGTAATTTAAAAATAGATACAATTATATTATCCTTTAAAAATGATTCAAATTTACAGTAGGTTGTTATCTGTCGCCTTTTACCTATCTTGTTAAGAATTTTTATCATAAAGGACACCAAATCTTTTTAAATGCTTTCTCTGTATCTATTGATAATATAATGATTTTCAAATCCTTTCCCTTTGTTGATATAAAGCAGTATATAGATTGAATTATGAATATTAAACCATCCTTGCATCCTAGGATAAATTTCACTTAGTCTTGATGTATGATCTTTGTAAACTTTGATATAACTTTTGAAACTACTAAAATGAATAAATTTAAATTATTTATTGTGTAAAAATTAAGAATGGTTTTGGGCTTTATAATGATAGATGGATATAAGATGGCTATATATCACATCTTCCAGAAGAGTTGATTTTGAACTCAGTCACCCCTTGAGAGAAGACATACCAGCTCGCATAATTTCATCGACCAGGAGAATGTTGGTAGCAATCACTGTGCTAGAGAAAAAGATGACAAGGTGAGTAAAGCCTGCCACCACATGCTTGTCTTTTACCCCTAGCGATAGTTACTTATAAAGGTACTTTGTTTTTTAATGATGCTGGTGAGGTTTCATGAGACAAACAGGAACATCATCCCTTGTGTTAGAATTTCTATCCTTGCTAAAAAATAAAAAACCTGATTTTAATTCCAATAAAATGGAATTCATTTTTAGCACACTATTTATTTCCCACTGTATATGTTTTTCTATTCCAGTAAACTTCCTTCTTTCCCCTTCCCCTCCTTTAAACAGTAAGATTAGAATTCCCTACAACTTACACTACTAGACCTAAAATGTAAAAGAAATTGTAAAATGACAGAATCCAATTTCAATAGTTGGATACATGGTATCCTATATTTAATCATATCAGTCATGCCCCAAAAGTCTTTTTCTTTTTATTAATATAAACTTACCATGAGTGAAGAAGTTGTTTTTTCACACAATAATTATCCCAAACTCCTGCTTCTGCTGCTATCATTGGTTCACCTACAAAGTAAAAAACAATTATTTTTAACACTGCAATCTTGATCTAGTAAAATAGAATGTAAATTCTGACTATATTTACTATGCCAACAGAACTACTATTGTCACGGTCATTAAAGGCCTCCAAGCTGTCTGGGGTGGACTCAGCCTCATCCATCATCAGCTTAACACAGGTGACTACATTCTCCTAACTACCTTTCTTAACTTGTATTCCACCACTCTTGCCTGTAATTTTTTCTTTTGTACTGGTGACTCCTTTCCTGTTTACTTGTCTAATTTTCTCTTCTTCCTTAAGCTCTTAAAGTGTGAGTACCCAAAGTTTCAAGTCTGTATTCTCTCTCAGCATTCACTTCCCAGATAATCTCATCCAGTCTTTTGGATTTAAACCATATACACTCTGGTGACTCCCAAGTTTTTATTTCCAATGTTGACCTCTTTTTTGAGCTCCAAACTTAACCATCCACACATCTATTTTGCTTGAAAAATCTATAGACACTTCAAACTAACTTTGCCAAAATTGAATACTGACCTACCATCATCATAACCTGCTTTACCATGGTCTTCTCCGATGCAGTTAATGACAAGCCCAAGATTCCAGTTGTTCCACTGACTTCCCTCCAAAGTAGCCACAGTAATCTCTTAAACCATAACCTCTGCTGAAAACGATTTATTCTACTACAGTCAAAGAACTTAGACTGGCCCCTAAGTCGTTGCATGATGTTTCCTCCTCAGAGACATCAGATTGACTGTTTCCTCTGTCTCAATACTTTCTCTATTTAACCACAGGACTAACTTCTTTTGATTCTTTTTTTTTTTTCAATAGACATATTCTCAATAAGGCCTCCCACATCCACAGACTTTAAATTACAGACCCTTCCCATCTGCCTGCACTAGCATTCACAATCATTCTATACTTTTCTTTTTTTTTTATTTTCCCATAGAATTTGCTAGTTTATAAAACATGAAAGGAACTTGTGTATTAAGGTTGATATTAACACTTGTCCTTCCCCACTAAAACATAAGCTCACAAGAGCAAGATTTGTTATTTGTTCTATGTGAATCTCAAAACTCAAACAACAAACACTCTCTTTTCCAGATGAATGAATATTCCAAGAAATTCAACAGTATACTAAAGGCACCCAAAACTAAGTATTAAAATCACCTAAACTTCTACTCCCTTACTATTAAGTTGTGGGTGAGTGAATTGTTTTTCACCTTTTTACCTGTATTCAAATCTATGCCAACAGGTTGTTTTGATTCTAAATGCTCAGCTTGAACTTTTACTAGTGTTTCTTGCAGGTCATAACCAGAATTTTGAGCAAGAACCTTTAGGAATAAAAAAAATCATAAATATGTATAAAATGTCTTCACATATATATTTGAATATCTAATATTGACACACGGAAAAAATGTTTTTTTTTCTTTTCTAGGGATTTTAATGACAATGACAAAAGCAAACTAGTGTTAGGAAGTGCTAAATAACCTGAAGTTCTTACATTCTACAACTTAAGAGTGATAACATTTTGGACCATCAACAAAATAAAGGTTTGCCCTAAAATCTAATTAAATTTTAAGTTCTAAATTATAAAATATACTTCATTATAATTATATAATCATGAACTGTTTTTCAGGCAAATTTTTGGAGTTACTTGACTTTTAGGGTTCAGAGAAGGAAGGAAGGGGAAGTGTAATTGTTTATGAAACTTCTACAAGGATTCTGAGCTGTTATGGCAAACACTTCCCCTTCTTCCACTATAAAATAGCTTTTTTAAAAACTGTATGAAAAGGCCTTCCCTTTTGGCACAGCAGGTTAAAGCACAGCACTGAGAAGCAAAAGCCACTTCAGCATGAGTTCAATCCCACTCCGGAACTGACCCACATGGCGCAGCAGACCTCTCCTGACCCACCCGCTGCTCCCCTCAGCAATATACTTCATCAGTAGGCCTGTTCTGCTCCTCACTCATCTCTGGTGAATCCTCTCACCATCTTTGCACTGCTGGCCTGTCCCCCAGCTCTGTATGCATACATAAATAAATATTTTTTAAAAAACTGTATGGCTCTCCACAAAGAAGATACAATGGAAAAAAGAAAATTTGTTCAGCAAGTGGTGCTGGGAAAACTGGGAAGCTACATGCAAAAAAATGAAACTAGATCACTGCCTCACTCCAGTCACAAAAA